GCACATGGGGATTACAAATTGTTACAAATGTCCACAAAGTATTTCACAAAAAAATGAACTTAGCCTTAAAAGCATGACTATAGTGACATATGTCACTGATATACTTTGGTATATTGACAGCCTATCATCGTAAAATACTCTCGATCATTCAAAAAATTGACGTAAAATTCATTCACAATCTTCAAAATATTCAATTTGATTTAATACAGTAAAATACAGATGGATTTTTTCAGCTCTTTATTAAACAGTATTATACTCTATGTATAATATTCAAGTTAAATATGTACACATCACTAGCTGGCATCCATCATCAATAGCAAACTTTCTTGCGAGTGACAAGATCAAAAAGATTCCAAAATACAAGACTCTTTTGAAAAATAATAAAATCAAGTATGTATAACATGTTCATTAGTCCTTTTAAGCCAGAGTTTTTGCCAACTTTCAAACAATCAAATTCCAAGATCAGAAGATTATCACAAAGAAACGAGAGATCATTTTTGGAAAATCAAGATCAATCATTCCAACATAAAGTTGACATTTTTTTCAAATGTCATGAAAGATGTTCAGGTCCAATGGTTCATTCAAGTCTGAAACCTTTGCATCTAATGCCCAACAAGAAAAAAATAGCTTGCCATTGTAATCTCATCTTTAGAATTGCTTGCTCCAACATCCAAACACTTTTTAGAGTAGAAATAGCATTTTTCCTTAAACGTGGATTAGAATACTCGATTGAGATAGGCAATATTCATTGTGTGGATGGAATTCAACGTCTAAAAATGATGTTTTCATGTATTTTCACCTCAAACATTCTAAGCATTGTGAATCTAACATTCCAAAAGAGATGGAATTCAACGTCTAAAAATAATGTTTTCATGTATTTTCACCTCAAACATTCTAGGCATTGTGAATCTAACATTCCAAAAGAGATCACATTATTTTGCATAACTAGTTAAAAACTAATTTGAATCAATGTACGTTGAACTCCATCAAACATTTGACTTTTAATAAATCCAATATCCTCAATTCTACAAGTTTGATCATTCATCATGAAAATCAAATCATTTAATATTGAGAGGTTAGAAAAGAAATCTTAAATGTAAAAGATGTGATAAGAACAAACATTATAAAGAATTCATATATAACCAGCAATCTTTGATGAATTTAATGGAACATATCTCACATCATAGTTCATCTAATAGCAAGTCATACTCCTTGGGGTCAAACTCTTATCTGGCCATACGATGGTCAGTTCCTTTTGTTTTCACAAGGTAGTCATTCTTGACTTGACCTCTTTAGCCACATTTCAATACATCATCTTCTTACTTTCTAGTAATTTATACCTAGTCTTGGATTTACTCTTGGATCCAATACGCTTGCCATCCTTGTCATTTTGAAGCTATGACCGACCTCAAATCACATCCAGTGTTGTATCGGAATAAAATTATGAAGTATATGAAAGTTTAGGAAAAAGCATTTACAACCAGGTTGTGAATGCTTGGATGAAAAGATTAATTCCTTATCGGAAAAAATATAGTGGATGAGATGAAAGTTCAGGGTAGAGCACTTACAATCAGATTGTGAATGCTTGGTTGGAAATGATTAATAGCCTATCATGATGAATCAAGACACATGATACGGATTGATTGCATGTGCACGGTAAACTCAAAAAATAAAATGTTTTTCTTTCATTTGCAATCATCTCAAACGCTCAAATCATTGTCTGCAAAGCCAAGCCACACTATGAAAAATTCCTCACTTAGTTGGACAGTGGCACGAAGAAGCAATAATCATCTAAACACAATCCAAGCATCGCTAACCAAGACTATTATATCAATTTTATGCAGAAGATACAACACACATTTCACAAGACAGTATCACACATGAGAACACAAAAATAACATGAATCTCTTGTAGGTTTTGTCCATGGAAACATACAATGTTTATTGAAAATGATCGGCGAGATTGCTAGATGCTCTAAGTGGTACAGTCTAAACCAAGAGACTTATTCTCAGCCTACAAAACCTAACTCTCAAACCCTTATGTGTAATATCACTAACATTATTGATGCAATTGAAAAAGTAAACGTTTAATTAATTTTCTATGACAAGGTAATAGATCATTTCATCCAATGATTTGGGCTAAATTGATTATGTTCAACCTATCTACAATATGAAAGTAATATGTGTCAAAGTAATTTCAAGATAGTAATATAAATCAAAGATCTATGTTTTAGAAGTAAATTGCTCAATAAACTACAAAAATTGAAAATATTTGATGAATATATAAAACTAAATAATTAGAGAAAAGGAAATGATAAGCTCATTTATTCAAATAAGCTTATCATTAAAAACAATTTCATACATAGCATTGTAAGTCTTTATTGTATCATCTAAATGCAATAAGTCTTTAAAACATCAAATGATAGAAAACATTACCAATGTAAATGTGTTCTAATTATAAAACATATTTATGAATGTGCAATATATGATAAAACCGTTGAGCTAAATTACATAAATAATGAATATGATATATTTGATACATTTATAAAAATTATTCTTTTGGACTATTTTGGAATACATTGCGGTGTTATTTAGCTTTGTATGAAGAGCACTAGTAAGATAATTATCTCTATTTATCATTTTACTTAACCATATTTTGCATGCGGCTTAATTTTGGTTAAATTTTTCTTCTAGTACTTTATATTTTAGGAGTAATCATATTGGTAATAGAGTTCACAAACCTTCATATTTGAGTAAATGGGGGGGATAGTTATGAGTTTGTTCATTTATTAATTAAGTCTAAATCTTAGACTATGTTCGATTAGACTAGTTAACTTACTCTATATAAAAGATGTGGGTAAAGTTCTCTATAAAAAAATTGTTGTTTTATTACAATCTCTTATATTAGACATAGATTCACTAGTATGAATCACATTTATTTTTCTTTAATGTCTGTTTGTGTTTTCTTGTGGAAAATCATCGACAGCAATTAGTATAACTCGGGCATGTTAGTTTTTGTAGAAATTAATGAAATTTTCGACCCTTTAAAAAAATATGTGCTATCGAAAATATTCTAAATGTTTTTTAATATGATTTGATAATTAAATATATATTATATTCGAAAAAATTCAAAAAAAATGATTATACATGAATAGTTATATTCAAGTGATATGTTATTGTATATGAAATATAGAAAAATTATAGAAGTTATTTTAAAGCTTAATTTGTTGGGAATTGACTCTATCTACAAATTTTTCTTGAATAAATATTCAACACATAAAAAATTAATTTCTCGGTGACACATTATTTCTGAATACATCTGTCAAGTCTTTCATTTTTGTGATGCTTATTACTAGCTCATGGTAGAAAAATTTTTGATTTCTATATAGATCAATTACAAAAATTTGACAAAAAAGAAGGTGGATACAATTCCCACTTAAAAAGTTTAAGACACAATAAACATATACTATATGGATAGGCATGGTATTCGTTTCAAATTTTCGAGATACATATATATTCAGATTTTTTAAACATTAATTTTCAGATCAATTTTCTTGGTAACTACAAGAAGGCCGAATTGACACAAGGTAATAGGGCTTAAGACTTAACTTTCTGCGCCAAGCCAGACTCGCTACAACACCATCATGATGATGGTTAAAAAATAGAGCTAACAATGATAAGATAACCATAATAATAATATTAATGCTAGTTCATTCTTGTACCCTTATCAACTCGAAGTGGACTAACTTTGCTTAGATGCAGGGCCATGACGACTAATGTTGAAACATGGGATTCCTAATGAGTAGAATGGATACGGCTGGATATCCATGACATTTTCGTGCAGTTTGAATGTTGTATTCAATGTATGCAAATCAACAATCAGGACAAGATTAGGCGAAGCAGTGTTAGACCGACCACGACAACCATGAAGATAGTTGTCTTGATTCGTCGCTATACTTACTTTCCGTGTGTTCTCTATTGGGTTCGCTGTAATTCCAATTTGGTCATTGTACTGTACAGATATACAGAGAAGAAAGCGTCACAGTCGTTCACAGGTTGAGCTAATTCAACAACTTGGAACCATTACCACTTTATTCAGATGGTCGGTTTGTTTACGTCAAATCCTTTGAGAACTGAATAAATATAGCGGATTGAACACATGCTTGCCGGCAGTATCCAGAAACAAAATCATGATTAGCGGATTTTCCCTCCACATATTTCCTAACCTACAATGTGCCAAAAGTACTGCCGAGTTGCTGGAAAGGATGGAGTCCACTTTAAGTTCTAACTCAAACCTACTCTGATATAACTCCCCTTGGAGTCCACCATCCTGAGTAAGCATATAATCACAGAATAACTAAAACTCACCAAACTTGGGTGGGGCCCATTTGAAGTTTGATGAGGTCCTTGATTCTATTTCTACTTTCTAGACCTAGGCCCACGACATTTTTGACGAGATGTGAATTACAATGGCACTGCTCAAGGACCGGCGATGTGCTATGAGAAATTGACCAAAGGAATATATCATGGCAAGTCCAGGAAGCTACTTCAGTTCAACCCCTTTCGTCAGTTTTTCTTTTACACTTACCATGAGACAAAGTGAGACAGCGTGACCCAAAGGCAAGCTGTAGAGTTGACGAAATTTTGTTGGGTAGTGTTTCTTGTCTTGCTGGATAAAGACCGCTTGCATGTAGTCCAAAAAGTGCTCCTTAATGTAACTTAAAAACAAAAGAATAGCTCACTTCTCCCAGGGTAATTCCACGGAAAAAAACGTTCTGTTCATACCTTTGCAAATTGAAATAGGCAGAAATGTGATTGCACAGAGACAGGAAACCAAATTTGTGATACTCGGCAATACTTGATAATCGTAGGGTCCGCAAGGGTATTGAACAGGCTGAGGAGCTCCATATCACATGGACGTGTTCCACCTTCCGAAATAGGAGGACAATCCCTCCAGTGTGACTAACAGACGACGAGTCATACAGATTCATTAAAAAAAAACTAGACACTAATCCTTGCACTGATGGCCATAAGGGGCAACTTTAACGGCCCAAAAGATTTGAATCTTTCTTTATAAACATGAAAACCACTCCGGTGCATGGCCTACCTCGGCTTCATGGGAGACATACGCGGAGAGGCCTGAACAGATAATCACCGCTGTGGTAAAACTTCTGGACCGACTCATCAGTTTATAAGAGCTAAATAGCTGTCCTGGACTCAAAAACACTCATATCATACTCATCACACTCATCATCAAAGTTGACCCAAAACAGTAACGCTGATCACGTAGTACCTTCTCGTGAAAACATGAGGTCTTTGCCGGAGTTTGATCACTTCTCTCGAGACACATTTTACGCCTCGTTTACAATTCTAACGCAGCCAACACTTTTGATTACAGTCATTGACGGCAACTAAACTCATTATTAATTCTAGTTTCCCTCTTGCATCCCTGACCAACCACGGTTCTGGCGAAGAAAGATGAAAAGGCGTATTTTTAAAACTTCAAGTCCGCAGTAATAGCCTTCAACTTTTCCACGAAAACTAAAACTGGGCACCTTTAAAAGCTTCATGCAGACAAAACTGTGAACGGTTTCAACAGAGACGACATTATAAATCTAGTCTAAGGAATCCCGACTAGTAGTCCGGGGCAGGAAGGAATGGAAAAGGAGCGTACGATATGAAGGCAATGGGAGGTCGATGCATAATAGTTTTCTGACATTTAGACGGGAAGATCAACGTATCTTTATCCTCACTGTTGAACTCTGCCTCAGAAAGATGTTCCCGTTTGAGTTCAACCGATTTAATAGATTCTACATTTAAGATAGCATTAGGTCTCCGATGAAATACCATAGCAGACATGAAAAATGGAAGATAAATAAGGCTTGATCGAAATAGACGACGAGCAGTTTCAGGATTAGGTCTGAGGTAGAACAGTGCAGCCATAGCACCTATGCCACTTGTGAGCACAAGGTTTTCCCAACCGAAGTATTCCGATGTGACACCAACTGCATAACATATGTATATGTTAATCAAATGCTTCATGTGGAAAAAATCAAAGAACGCAAAGACACATCCACATTCGGATATGAATAATTTCTGCGAACATTACAAGGTTGCTTGGAGAAACCCTAAAACTTGATACAATGACAAACTTTCAGAAATGAGCTTTTCTAGCCAAGGAGAAAGCCAAACCACAAGGGCTGCTATGCTGGCAACTCTTTTGGAATCTAGAACATTCACATATGTGGATATCCTAACGCCTTATTCGCGACCATGTCAGATAATTTGCTTTAAATGAAGCCATCACAAACAGCTGCCAAGTACTTACAATGTTGCGCAGCGAACCCCAGAGGCAACAAGTATAGACAATTTCGTAAAGCACAAGATGCTGTTCTTCGACCAGACGCATCGAGCAATGAGAGCATTTTATACCTGCAGAAAAAGATGGTTCAGATCTAACTTCTAACTAAGATAATGACGGAACGTCATTACCTGATTGAAGCGATAACAACTGTAGCCTGCAGATTGAAAGCGTCAAAGAACAAGAAGGGCTTCAGGACATACCCTCCAGCAGCGTAGTCATGCCGGCAGAAGTAAGCAAGAGCCATGAAATGAGGTATTTGCCAAAAGTAAAGGCCAGATGCAAGAACCCATCCCCCAGCATCAATTCGCCCTGCAGCTCCTGCCCAGCTGCAAAAACACGTGCGATGGTGCGAACGTGAGCGGAAGGTTCTAACTAAGCTGCACGGCTAAGGCAGGTTCCACCAAACACTGCAGGTCCAACGATTTACAAACACCGTACATTTGGGGGATTCCAAGCAACCCTACATCTCTTTCATGCCTAGATATTGACATGCGTTGTTGCTGTGCATAAAGCTTGTACATTTTAGCTACAAACTTCAAATTTCTCAACCACTTCTTCGTGTTGAAACTCCCTGAAATAAAAGATTTTGATTCTGAATGAACTCAATAATTAAAAGCATGGAAAACGTGTGCCAATTGACCACAAAACGGGAAATTTGAGAGATTGGTGGTGCAGGCATCATCAACCACCATAAGGTGACATATATGTTGTATTTACTTCCTCCTCCTCCTCAGAGACTAACATCTAGTTAAGCTTGCACTAATCCCAGAGTCTCCACGGAAATTCTGAGTTTCTGGAACTTAGAAGCACATCAAACTCTGACAATAAAGAGCAAATGAAACAAGCAAGCACATCTGTAAGCAGCAGCAACTCACCTCACAGTCGTCGTAACAGCTTCCAGAGACTAAAGAAGACATGATAACTGAACTACATACTCTATTATTGTGGGTGGTGAAACCAAAGCGTTCAACCCATTATGTGCTTTAAATGGAACCGACCAGACAAACAGGAAAACCATCTTGATTATTGAGACTATAATCAAAACTGTCAATAAGCAGGAAAAGCTGTCATACCCCATCAAAGGAGGAATAGCTCCCACAACTGCACCAACCCAGGTGTTGATGAAATGAAGTTGCTTCAGAGGTGTATAGACAAGTGCATAGAGAACAATATTTGCCGCTCCCAGTTCTGCTGTCAAAACATTAATCTGCACCACCCTTCCAGAGAAAAGCATCAAAACACATTAGTCGAGCAGCAACACAAACGTGACAAACTGTCTCTGGGAAATTGCTACAAAGCTTGTCAACGATGGACCGTCTTTCCACACTATTATCACTATGACCTAAAGTGATTATGTAGACTTGATTATTAGCAGGTTCTTTGAGAGATGAGATTTGGGTCAAAGTTCTCGAGGATATAAAAGATATATACTCACGATTACACTTCAAACTTCTTAAGGAAAGAACTAAATAGCAAAGGTCTATAGGTCTAGGTCTAGGTCTGTTCATCTATATTTCATAGATGAACAGCGGTACCTTGCTAGCCAACAATGCGACACCGGATACACCAGCAGTTACCGCGAACGCCAAGGCGTGAGGCACCCCAATTCGGCCGGCTGGCAGGGGCCTTCTCATTGTACGCTTCATTCGTGAATCATTCGAAATTTCCAAAAGCTACAGTTGAGTGACAAAAACCAGACTAAGCAGTAAGACAGCCTTATAAAAAGTTGATCGGAAGCGTGTTACACATTAGGAAACAATAACATCCTGAGCTCATACCAATCTTTGCCAGCCATAAAAATGGTTCTGCCTAGGCTGTAAGACCACAGAAATAGACTGTAGCTAGCAAGTCTATTCAAACACGAGCACATATGAGATCACCCAGTGCCGTGACATCAAGTTCACCCTGTAGTTAACAGACAACATCTTCCATTTCCACTTTAAATAGAGCGAGAAGCCTTAAGAACAATGCAAGAGAGGATCCGAACCTGATTAAACGAATTTGCAGACGCAGCACATAACATGGTTCCAAACGAAGTAAGCCCAAGACCCGTCCAATCCACAGTGTCACCACTACCCATCCAAAATCCAACAGCTGTCGATAACACCACGAACGAACTGTGTTCCAGCAAAAGGGAGCAATACAGACCATTTCTTAGATTAGAACCGTATCATCCATGATTGTTACAATACAGAGTTCAGAGTTGGCATGTAGGTGGGAGAAGCCACTGTCCGAGCTGAGGGAGAGTGGTACCCCTGCTCGCAATCGGAATGTGTTCTGAAATCTTTTTCAGCACCCGAGATATTCTACTTGGTCAGACATGGGCGAAAACCCTCCCACATCAATAAAAACCACTAAATCTCAAAAGCTTTCGAAAGGTGATACATTCCTCACGAGCGTGTAAGTAAAACAAAACAAAAAAATCCGAGATTATCACGGATCTTTTACCTGAGACGTACTTTCGAAAGCTCAAAATAACATCTCCCATAATGTCCAAGACTTTCAAGAATGCCTCTTGATCCTTTCACAGATGAAACACCCAAAGATTCTGCAGTTTGCCTTCGGACAATACTGCCCTGACTCACGACAGCGGAAGTTACGTCTCTTGAAAATCTGGAAAGGTTGCTTGCCCTCCACACATTCGATCTCGTAACAGCTTCTGGGGCACGAAACGCCCCAACAAACCCCCTTCGAAAAAATATAACTGATGCTTGGCGGTTCTTCGAATAGATACCGACTGAGCTGTTCCGCGTCCTCGCAGCCAAGCGAGCCCCATTGTGGCAAGAGATTCCAAGAGAATCCCCCGCACGATGACCGGCATCAACCTCAAATCTCAGAGGCTGCGATCTACACTCCTTGGAGCTTTGCTTCAAAAATTCCACCACCTGGCCATAAACTCTGCCTCTGCCCCCGCTTCCCATGTATGAGACGAAGAAGCGTCAATCCAAACCTGCTGTTATAAAATCACTCATCTCACGAACAAGCAATCGGCACAGCCAAACCGAAGTCAGACACAAACAATGATCTTCTCCGCTGCTGTCCCGTCGCGTTCAGAGCGTCAAACCACTGCTGTTCATGAGCAGCCCAATTTCGTAATCACCATGGTCATGTTGCTCGATTGAGCCCCATGAGTGGAGAAGGGCTCGATGCAAGGTCTCTCTCCCTCTCTCTCCTTCCACTGCATTCACTCCTTCCCGTGAGTCGACGACATGTCACGTCAGCCAGCAGCGGCATCGCACCGCTGTAGTAGGTGCACTCCCCGCGCCCAGTTGTAGCCGCCGAGGCCTAAACGCGTCGCTAACTTTGTGCTGGAGCGCTTGACTTTAGACAATCAGCTCCAGGTTTTATCAAACGCTGCACCCTTCACTCTCACTCATTTATTTATTTTCGTACACCGAATTAGTGCCACCTTATTTTCATTATAATGTTCTGTATAATCAATTACTTAGTGCCCCCTCAAAATTTTTGTAGACAAAATAGTGCTCCCCTGACGGCTTTATCTTGCAGTTCTGCGTCTTAGTTTCAATCCGTTTCATTTCAACTCCTAAGAAAAGTTGACGTATATGGCCTTTAACTTCACTCGGGTGTTGGGGGACGTAATTTCATAGAGCATAATAGGAAATATATGTTTGTTTCCTAAGAATGAAGCGGACATAAAGCTACTTTGTATGCCTTTGCAAGTGATAGAACCGTACAAAAGTTACACTATTAACATCTTTAGCTTTAGAAGGCGCTCGTTTATTTCTCGCGCTTGATTTGGTTTAATTCTTATTTGTTCTTGAGTCAAGTTCTGCTTCACTGACCAGGAAGTATGAATTTCTCATCAAATTTGGGAGCCGATTCTCCCACATCTCACAATTAACATCTACACACTGCGTTGTTTTAAAGTGAATGTGCAATGATAGACATGAATCGTATTGTGGAAATTTAATTAAGTCTCACCTTGGATATGGACTAAATCAGTATGAAGAGATGCTTATCGCTTGAAGTTCACCTATGTCACACACAATCTACAAACTTTCCAGCCTAATGAAAAGGGGTAGGTGAAACCAAGGTAAAATGAAAGCTTGAGAACACATTTCTGCAAATTGCTTCCATCTTCATTGCGATCTACTTTGTGTTAAGTTATCGATGACTTTGAATTGTTGGAAATTCATGAAGCAGGAGAACTTGGAGTTGCTTGTGGCTTGAGTCATGGCTTGTAAGTAGATTGCATACAGAATTTCATCAGCAGTACGTAGATTGAATTTATCCAATTTGATTTTAGTACGCTTTCTGATGGATGAACGTGGCACCCTCTTTTGGAAGTAATCTAGTTGACACCTAATCTCTTTCCTCTTTGTACCCCGATTGTCAAGAAGAGTTAGAGAAAGATTATGGAAAAGAGTAATTATCTCTCACATCAATGAGTCCCTCTGCTTTCTTAGAAAACCAATTTGAAAGTTCCACAACCCACTATACTTAGAGTTAGTGAAAGATGTTGGAACAAATATAATTACTTCCTGTAGGTAGATAATTACTAGTAATCATCTATGTTGAGATTAAATAGAGGTAGAAGACTTGTTCAATGTAATGTTGCATACAAAGAATGAATGGCATGAGATATGAACTTATTCGAGAGATTTTTATTTATAATATATAATGCACAATCCAAAATGATTTCAAAATCCACGATATTTGCCCTAATATTGCAACGGTCATTATGATTCAACCTTTGTTGCTTTTCTTTAAGTAACTTTGTTAACACATCGGCCACCATGTCTTCATATCCCACTATCTCAAGTTTATATCGTCACTCTCCGTCATTATGGTTCAACCTTTGTTGCTTTTCTTTAAGTAACTCTGTTAACACATCGGCCACCATATCTTTATATCTCAATATCTCAAGTTTATATCGTCACTCTCCAATCTTGTTCAAGCTTGGACTCAGATCCATATTAAGTTGTACACGCTAACTCATATAAATCCTCCAAAGTAGAAAAATAAGTATTATTTTAAAGGAGGAAGATAATTGCTAAATCTAGTGTATGATACAAAATATGAATAGTGTTGACACATCGACATCATGTCGTCGACATTGGGTTCCACTTTCCTCTCTTTTCTCAATCTACCTCAACACTAATCACATGTGCAATATGAGAATACATTTATCTCCCTTTTTCTCAATCTACCTCAACACTATTCACATGTGCAATATGATGTGTGGATTATCTGATGATATATATGAATAAGTGGGAATCTGATGATAATGTGTTCTGTTCTTGGACAGAACACTGAAGTTAGAGTTTACCTTAGTGTTCCTTGCTTCTAGTTAGGACTCTATATATTGCAAATCCTTCAAGCTAAATATTCACGTCCGACAGTGAACCTTGTCATCTATCATTCCGTCCTATACATGCCAGCTCGGGATGGTGATAGCAACACAGCTGACATAAATTCGGGTTTAGCCAAAGGTTCAAGAGTAAGGAGTGCTACAAAGAGAATTCTGAGCTCAGAAACACTGCTGGAATTGACCTGCCCGTTTGGTCTGAGCTCAGCAGGCTATGGCAACTGCAAAGACATATACAGGTGTAGGAGGAGAGACATCATCTGCCAGTGATCCATGAAGCAAAGTATTTGAAAATTCAAACAAAGAAACAAACCTTTTGACTTAACGGTGACCTGCTCATAAACACGACGAGCAAATTATCGGCTTTTATTCCGATCGAAAAAAAATTCGGGACGCCTGGTACTGAAACACCCTCGTATGCTAACGCCGTGACTCATTACGATATGGCTGCTCCCAATAGTTGGGTGCCTCGAAGTCACCTGAGGTACAAAATCACTATAGCAGTATTAAATTACTTCCTAGAACTGCAATCAGAAGAGTGTAAAGCTCACTCCATCAACTTGAAATCAACCACCTATTCGTGTTGGAATACCTTCAATATTGAGAATACAAGAGTCAAGAAGAAAGACGTTATAGAAATAAGTGATAAAGCATCTGCCTAGGTCATACTTTAAAAATTTTCAGCAATTTATTCCCGTGGGCTAAGCAAAAGAACTGGACAGTAAAATCTATAAAGGTGGAACAAAGTCGAGAAGTCTTTTCCCAATGCGCTTCAAAATAAGTGAAACTACTAGCTTTCTGCCCACTGGCATTCCGATAGTTTATTTGATGATCGTGAATTTAGCTTTCCAATTTAGCTTTCTAATAACTACATCACTCCTTGCCACGATTTTCATAACAGCGGATATCAACAATCCCTGACATAACATGATCAAGAGGTCCTCTTACATGAACACGGAGTCCTCAGCCAACTTCTTTGGAAGCGACCTTCTTCCACTTCTTCTGTGTTTTTTTTAATTTTGTTAACCCAGGAGCTGTGACCTTAGCATTTCCGAGCATGCATGCCACCAATTCTGGATCAGTCACGGCCTTCATTAGCTCCTTCTCGCGCACAGTCGTCTCCGGCATGTGACTGAAGACATCTAAAGCAACCTTTGCAGCTGCATTGTGATCCAGGCCATCCCCACGCATTTTGGCAAAGATAAGTTTCGAATTTAGCGCTTCAAACTCTAGCTCAAAGTCGAGGCCATACACTAATTAGGATTAGTTTAAAAATAAAGACTTAAAGCACACAATTTGACGAGAAATAAACAGATAGACTCAGTTACTAATAAGAGTTGAGCGTCGCACCTTTTCCCTTCTTAGCTGGTCCTGGAGTAAGCTTGACACGATACTTGAAAGCTTGTAGAGCACTGTAAGGTCCACACATGGGCACAGAGTAGAGCAGCACATCACTTGAATGTGGTATCCCCGTCAAAGAATCTAACTCTATGAGCTTCTCCTTATCATCATCTCCTAATTCCACGACATTTTCTTCTGCCATTATGGCCGCGATCTCCTCCTTGGCAGCCTTCGAGTATGCCCTTCTACTCAAACCATCCTTGGGTTTCTCCGCTTCGTTTCGAACGATTGGTTGCATAATGCCCTCCCTTGCATCGTCATCAGTAGATGCTTTCTGGATTCTCTCCGTGGCCAAGTTCTGGCTATCCCCAACATATGTGGGTCGTTCATCCTTCGCACTCAGACTAGCTGTCTCATATGGACAATCACGAACTATGTGACCAGTCTTCTTACATTTATAACAAACTTTTTCTTTCAACCCTGCGTCTGTCCAAATCCGAACGAAATTCAGCTTGTAAATTGCAACGCTATTTTAAGACAACGGCTAAAATTCTCAAAAGTTTATCCCGAATAACTTAAAAGTTCCAGTATGTTCTTGAATTTGCTCAGCCAGTTCCTTCTATGATGTGAACCTCATGACCAGGAAAGCATTGAATTGAAATTTCGTCCTGATAGTTACACATAATTTAGCAAGACCAAATGAATTTTACTACTGACGAAAGCTTAACACATGAAAGCAGCGGCAAGCCATCCCACTTCCATAAAGTCTAGGTGATTTCCAAATGTATCGTTTCATTACAGATCACTCGAACACCAGGATTAGACAGAAATTTACCTTGTTCATAAGAATGACTCTCGTTAAGAAAAATACCTTGTTCATTGGAAGTCGTTTTACTGCTGGTACTAGCTTTTCCATTCACTCCTAAAGCTTTAGGTTGTTTGCTCTCCTTCCGTCCAGCAGACTGTTTCAATACAACATCCAAATAGTTTCACCACAAGAGGAGCAGGCGGATAAAGGTTAAGTCAATAGTTATCACTCGGGTCTCGTTTTGAAAAACTGGCATCAGGGTCCGACTAGTGTGAGATCTAGGCACTTACAGCGAGGAGAGACATTCGAAGCTGCCGCTCTTCTTCATCCTGTTCGGCATATTTCTCTTTGATCTTCTTCAACTTTCCTTTCCTTCCGCGACTAGGTTTACTTCCGCCTGGACTTGAATCCGGCCCTCCTTCTACAGTTCCCAAAGCTGATAACTCGTCTGATATGTCCAAATTATCGAGCCTCTCTTGACCTTCAACAGTCGCAAGTTCTTCATCTCCAGCGACACCATTTCTTTCATCATCTTTTCCATGCTTGCTTCCTTTCTTTAATTTTCGCCTCTCTGCTCTAGATACATACGGCTTCTCTCGCTGAACAGCCTTGGACATTTTCACATTTCCAGGAGCACTATCCACATTCCTGTCCGCATCAGTGGTGACGTTGACTAGTTCGAGCCCGTACTTGTTTGATGTCACCTTATGAGCTGACCGAAGCTCAAAAGCTTTATCTAATAGAGCATCAAACCCAGAATCATCACCTCCTTCAGAGATGTTTGTCCCATGTACAGCTGTCATTAATTCACTGCCCATTCCATCTGAACGATCACTGCCTGAACGTGACTTCTCCTGAAAGCCTTCGTCGTCATTGTCCGATGTATCTGCTCTGACTTCCTGATCCTGATCCTCACTTGGAACCTCAATGTTTTCCTCGTCGTCATCATTGTTTCTGTTCGATGATTTCCCCACTTCTGGGTGACCAGCTTCAACGAAAGCAGCTCTTTCACTTTCTTCCCCCTCCCCATCACCCCTGATACGCCGCTCGTTGAGGTGAGCGGCAATACAACTCTCATCCAAGCGAAATAGAAGCCCATAACCCATCACCAGAGGGTTAGGGGCCAAGAAGTTTTTCTTGCCCCTTACCATGAAACTCCCAACCGTCAGATACTCGCCCGTTGGAGCTGTCTTACTTACTTGGTGTGGGTGAACCCACCAGGCACTAGTCACAATTTTTGAATCCCACGCTTGACTTCGACAAACCTGTTGAATCAAGAAATTGGAACTAATAAAGAAGTAGGAACATGCAAGAACTAGTACTTGTATAAGAAGCAAAAGCACGTTCTAACCTGAGACATGAGCCTACTATAGTAGAACAACATTTGCAGCTTGAACTCACGGTGAACGACCCCGCTTGGTTTATAGTGAAGGGCGGTATGGGTCTTGTAGGATCGTTGTTTTTTATTACTGTGCTGGACGCTCCATGGAGATCTGCATGCACATACCTTTGCACAGACAGTCAAGGCAAGCTGAGATGAGCTTGTTGGCTTGTAAAATCTTTAATTCCTATATGACCGTGCTATTAGTTTTGCTTACCTTACCAATCTACGCGAGCACAACCAACACTCAATCAGCAGAGTGTGCACGTTCTGTGCACTCTGGAGGCTTCACATTACGTGTAATACAGTTAAGATCCGCACACCTCCCTGGGATATCACTCATACGTATGCTGGTTGACATAAATACAGCCACCGCATGCAATCAAAGATACTTGACTTACGAAGTTACATTGGTAGACGACAATCCCGGAATCAAAATGTGGAACGTAGTAGGTTTCGTTTCAAAACTCACAAATCTCCTTTCTTCATATAGCGCTTTACAACCAGCTCATTTTGCTGCGCATCACGACCACTGATGACCAAGTAGTTCTCACTGCTGATGAACCAGTTGAATTTCTCAAACCAGTGCATCTTACGAATATGCGTGATTGCAGCCACGGTCTTTGCCTGAAAGGTTCTTCAATCAGCAACCTTTCTCAGAGTGGGTAACTCTAGCTCTGAACTTGCAAGTAGTATGTCCAAAAGTACCAGCGGACAGTCGTCTAAATGACATCTCTCCTGCATGAACTCTACAGAGAAAGTACTAAAATATTGTATGTCGTAAGTATGTTCGACACTGCCTGAAGACCACTTAACACAATGTTTGACTGAACATGACGGAGAAAAAAAACGGGAAGAGAGAGTGAGGCAACTGAGAGAAGGAAAGAACACATTCAAGTGGAGTTATCTTCTCAAAAAGCCTTGATTTCAGCCGATTGAATCCGAAAAGTGAGGAGAAGACCCAGTTGACTAGTTGCTAGGACGAAAATGAATACGAAAATGGAAAACCAGATTTACAGAATGAATCATGCAAGGTAAGAATTTGCATCAATCCTAGTCGGAGATAATGAAAAAGTGCGAAAGGGTGGTCCCCATCGTCCAAGGAAGTATGCGGTGGAAGTGAGTATGCTCACATGCGGGAAAGGGGGACACAAAACGGAAACCGATAGAACCCACGGTGTATATATGCTATAAGCAATGACACCCTTGCTACTTGACAGCCAGAAACAAGAAGAATTGATTAAGTATAACTTGGAACTATATATCAGACTGTATCAAAATGTTTATCTAGTAATTTTCAAAATACCTGCGCAAGTTGCTGCTGAGTTTTTTTCTCTGCGGCTTTAAACGCTTTTTCATGAGCAGCTAGAGTCTTTTCCTGCTTTGTAGCATGCTTCTTCTTCATTTCAAACCATCGCCTAGCATTAGCATGTGCAGAAAGTGACAAGTCCACTTCCACCTACAGACTCCATAGACAACAATGATAGAGTTAGTAACATAGACTCAAAATTCGTGTTCGAAAAAAAATGCTGAACTTCATACCCGAACTTCACAAATAATGGGAATTGTAAAATAGTTCTAAAGCCCATATAAAAGTAAAAATGTGATTCGGAGGCCGTGCATGAGATAATGACTAACCACGACCTGTGAAAATATTAGAGAGCGGCATCTAACGGACAAACTGAAGACGCAAAGCTTGACCACAGTGACTCACAAACATTGAAACGTCCCACTTTCAACAAACATGTCGTGAAAATAGGCACTGGCAAGAAGCTTCTTGGAAAATGGAGAAAGCACATACCTTGTCCACAGGTCGTGTTTTCTCTTCCTCATCCATATCATCTAGATTATTACTTAGAAGCAGAGTAATCTGATTCGTTTCCAGTTGCAAACTATGGATAACACCAGCAACTGGATTTCCTGCCTTTTTCTCCTCCTTTATCATTCGACCAAGATCTTTCCAATCCATGCCACTAGCAAGTGCAGTACGAACGGCTAAAATTGCTGCATCTACATCATCGAGGTTATACTCGATCAGTTCTGCCATGTGCACGGATTGGTCCACTTCGCGCTTCAACGCTTTGACCCGATTTGTCTGCATTCAGGATGTCTTTATTTAGTGATAAGACTCCAAAGTTTTTAGGTACATTGTACACACGCACATTGTCGAGACAATTGAGCATAAACCAGTCCAAATGTTTTAAAGGCAACTGTGAACGGACAGCTCCTGAGGATCTATGTCTAGTGTAAATAACTTCAATGTACAATGTATCAAATCAAAGAACAGATGTACACAAGGAGTTTGCCGCATAATTGCTCAAATTATCACAAGTATGCAAGAAATTGTCATTATGCTTGTGGTTGCCTCGCGTGGTAAAGCACTTGTTATCAGGCGTCACCAAGACGACGGAGGAGATGATCGACAACCTGATCGGCTCGAATTTTGTCCAGCTTCGTGAGCGCAGATTCTTCTTGTGTTCTTCTTTGTTGATCTGCACGTTGTCCTTCTACCTTACTATAATACTCATCCATGGCGGCATCAAAAGTGGCCAACTTCATGGACTCTCGGTCTTTCATTTGTTTCAGGTCCAGCGGAGAGAACTCGTCGTAAACCTGCAAATGAAGTTAATATCAGTATGAGAAATACAGACAAAGACTCTTACAGTGTCAACTACGCTTGTCTATGGTTGACATTCAAGTCCAGGCAAAAACACTTTATTTTAATTTATCTTGATGCAACTCTGGGAACATATCATTAGCCATCTTCAGGTATTAACATTGATGGAAACGAAAAACTGATATAAAGAAGCTACAAATCCAATCTCAATGATTCCTTCCGCTTTTCAACAAAATTTTCACCGCATATAAAGAAGAGTCTGACCCTGTCAAATTCTTCTTTGACATCGCTCGCTGCTGACTTCGCCTTCCCCATACCTACTTTCTGCATGTAAATGTATCCTTCGGGAACAATGTCCCCGCTCACAACAGCCTCCAACCAGTCCTCGAATCTTTTGATTGCAGCGGCTAAGGCTTCGAACTCATCTCGGCTGAGAATTGAAGAATTCATTTTGAGTCCGGGTTGCAATCCCGCACTCAAAATGATATGTTCACTCAGACTTGGTCCATAACCCAAGCCTTCCACCAGTAAAAATTTAAGAGTCGGTAGTCCCGCCCCTTTCTTTCCATTCCCACTGACCTCCTGGCTAGCAGACTTCGACCCTTTACCTTCCGGCTTCCACTTCGTCTTCTTAGCGTCTTCATTAACACTACCAGTGTGCACCTCCTTTGATGCTGCTTGTTGTTCCTCTACAGCTTCATCAGCTTTCAGTCGTGTCTGCTCTTTCAAAAGAGTGCTAATCGCCTCTTTTTTCGTTCTCTCGAACAATCGACAGGAATTGATAGGATATTGATGATGAGCCATCATCAGAAGACCTTTTTCATCATCTCTGCTCCAAAGTAACCAATAATGCGGCGGCAACAAGTAGCGTATGCGCTAAATAAGAATAGAGTCGGAAGAATTGAGATGTATAACAACAACTCTACTTAGTGTAGGAAACAAGCATATTCATGCGGTATAAAGTGTTCGAACCAAGATTGCTTCACGATCTTGCAAGCCAAAGGTGGTGATAACATAGATAGTTGAGTGAATAAAAATAATCCATCTGAGCTTTTAACTGTCTACCAAACCCACAAGATTGTAGAGTTGAACAAAAATGGCGAATGATCATATCACAGTATGCACCTAGAACTCAAACCACAACGTAAGATAAGATCCCAGGATTCTGTGAAAGGCAACTCTTCGAGTACACAGATATTGTGTCTGTTGATGTGCTCATCACCATGCACATCGAAGCAAACGACTTTGAAACAACATGACCGTAGCAAGGTTTGAAGTGCTAAACGGAAAGACTATGTTTCATCAGAGATGCATCATGGTGTCGCAATAGCAAGTTTTTTGCCCCAACCCCTCCTAACAAGTTACTGTCGTAATGAAGATTAGTCAGGCCATCGGGGCAAACTGATGAGAAGCTCTATGTATATCTTCGTATTCCTCCTTTTACCATCCTTAACATCCGAACTTATCATGGACAGGTTGGCATCCACGACAAAGCGACGAAGGACTCGGAACGCCGAATTGATTTGGGTTCTATTCAGAACATAAATGTTATGTACAAAAAGCAAGGCTAAGTTTCTAAAGTTAGTGTTACTTCAGGACAGGATCCAGTGCTTCAGCTTGAATAGTAGAATCAAAGTCATCTGGGCGAATACTCTTGCAGACAATGTGCTTCAGCATATTTTGGATGTTATTGGTTTGTGCAATTGGCAGCACACTTAAGATCTCAGGAAGTCCAAATTCCAATTGGACGTGAGGACATTTGGTCATTAATAGAATGGATTCCTTGCACACAGCCTCTTGGTTCAAACAATCGTATGCAGCTAATGACCGTTGAAAGACTTGATTCAAGAGAAAACTTCATTGCAGAATAAAGGCTTTCCAGCCACTTGTCGACAAAAGTACGACGTAAAAGCTTGAGTTATTCTATAAGAGTATGTACGATGCTTCAAGTCGCTTGTAAGTTCGAAGCAGCATATGATAATATATTTTCATAAATTAGAATCCTCACAATATCTCGCTCAAACGGTCATAGTCGGAGAAGCTTGATTTACGGAGACGAGCATAAGATTTCATAAGGAAATCTATAACTGCTAGGCAGAAAAGTTGGCATATCGAGCACCGCACGTGAGATGCGTATGCAAGTTTCTCATGGGTGATAAACAGGTATCTGTATTGGTCTATACTTTTGATTAACTACCCGCAATTATTCAGCACCGTCTAATGCCTTGTATTAAGCGCACCTACTGCTACTTGATAGTACTGAATAATATTAACCATCAATAAACATTATTCATATCCTAAAAAACCACCACAATCATGGAATTCATGTTATCATTCAAACTAATATTTACTAGCTAAAAATCCAATCCCGTCAAAAGTATCCACAGTAAATGTTTCCTGGAACAAAAAATTGTCATAGTAAACTTAAAAAACTGAAAAGTATTTACATTGACAATTGAGATAGTTGAACATGCCAGGATGGAGGACGGCTTTCAAACCTGTGAGTACGCAGCAACGTAATAACATTATGATGGGAATCTGTCAAAAGCAAATTTCCCTGCGAATACAGCTCCAAGATAATATGAAATGCTCCTTCTCCGAGCCCAAATTGAAAATCTACTACCTGCAAGGGGAGATTCGTAGTGGTTAAGAAACGCCCGTGTAAGTCCAGGTGTAGCCAGGTTTGGCTTCCTTGCAACTGATAGCATGGCTAAACTGACTGCAAAATACACCAGGGACGGATATTCAAAAGTCGATGCAGAACGGATTAGTCAACGGACCGTGCTACGACAAGCTTGAATGACAACAAGATGCTTGATATCCCCTAACACACAGAGCCCAGATACTACTGAGACGGGTAACTACAAGTTGAGAGGACCGTATGCAAACAGTCACAGACTTACTCTAAAGCTGACACAGAAGAAATCCAGAAATAAAAGGTACCATCAACAACATGGAACAGAGATGAAAGAGACAAGGCAGAAGGTCATTTCAAAACATACTCGATCTATCCCAAGTTGACGAACATCCTCTAATCTCCGCGTTCTCAAATGCTTTCTGAGCTTCAAGGTAAAACCCGAAGGGGTGGAACTCTTATCCCTGACAAGAGTGCAACGAGTATTTTAGATTTTATACTATCCTCTAACCCTTGATAAATGACAGCGATACGATGATCAGCGAATAAGTACACTTTGAAACGGAATGATAGACCCAAGATTGCTCTTGCGGCCTCAAACCCACAGATTAAAATGAAAGAAGCAGTGAAGTAGATTGATCTACTGAACATGAGGCCATGCTGTACCTGCACAACCGAAAGGTTAGTACCACTAATACAAGAATAACGTAGACAAATTAAAGACAGGACAAGGTAAAAATGCAGTGCACGAACAATGGCGTAAGATGAAGCGCCCAATAGCATGTGAAAATACAACGAATTGACCACGTATAAACAAGGAGACACTTTATACTTCCTGCAGGAGTCCCCGTCCAGTTGTCCAGTGAGGACTAATAGGAAGATTAAACCTAAGAAGAATAAAATGCCCTAGGTAAAATCCGTGACTTCATCACAGCCCATAAAATGGAAAAGCAGTCGGGTAAAAGAGCTAGTACAGCTCGTCACGACTTTGTTTCCTAATCTAGAGCAGTCAGGTCTAACTCGAAACTGAGCTCAATAAAAGAGTGGATTCCGTAGTAAAATGTTTGTTCAAGCTTCCTTACCACTCACACCAAGAGGTCTTAATGAACAAACTGTGAACTGTACTGATAATTCGAGATGATGTACACAGCTGCTCGAATTGTATCGTGTCTTCATTACGATATATCGTGATATATCTTCATTACAATAAAGTTTACTCGGAATGAAGAAACTCATAAGACATGAAGTTACTCACGACATACGATGAATCCAGCTGGGAGTAGGGTACATATGTTAACATGTTTCTGTGGTTCGAATGTAGTCAAAAAAATCATAGTACAAGAATGATATTGACCTTAATGCAAACTTAAAGTCGTATCGTTGATGGAAGTTTAACTGCCTTTAAAAGTCACACTAATCGCTGGAGTCGTCGTTCTTTCCAGAGTATTTCTAGAGCAGCCAGGTCAAGATATGAAATACTCTCGAAAGTTTACAAAGACGCAAGTAGGACAAATGCAACCTCCTGAAATTTTAATTTAAATCCATAAGACTGGACATGATGAGCACAGAAAAATAACAAGAATGCCAACTGCACTTCACGGTTATGACCGCCATCCATGATGGCACATGGCGACTTTGACATTCATTTATCCTCTCGAAAACTTGACAGGAAATGTTTCCTATATCATCCACACTGACGTCTACCATCAAGTACCATCATAGCATAACCACATCGGAAAACCTACCGACTGAATTCAGTCGTGTGCAGTCGAACACCGCTCTCAAGTAGCACCAGAGCTCTTTCACTCTCTCCAGATTCGGCAACACCACTGCTTTTCGCGAATTTGATCACATACGTCTGCGTATTCGAATGACAAAGAAAGGTGAAATGAGTGCGACCTCTTCATTCAAGTTCTAAATTTCGTAAAAGCTTCAAGCTTCTCTCTTCCCTTCTAAATGAAATGAAGAGTACCCCACATTGTACATTTCTAACCATATTCAAACATACCAGTAGATTGGGATAGGGAAAAAATTGGTACATTTTCTTGATAGTTTCAGAAAAAATTTCCAGCCAATAAAAAATCACCAGTTTTGATCATATATCTCATGCTTAACATATGTATGGAGACAATGCCATTGTGAGGAAAACGTGATAAGAGATGTGCAATCACATCCTCAGCTATATTCACAAGATAATCCAAAAGCATGAACCATCAAAACCATGTACACTGCTTTTTCAACTAATTATCAAAAAATCTTTTCAGCATGCAGTGCACAACGCTGCATGTAGCACATTGTGCACTGCACTTGGTTAAACCAATTTCAATTCACAGTTACCGTGAAATTTTGCTGCTGTAAAGCACATTCTGCATGCACTGCACAATCGATGCTGAAGCAAAAGTTACGGTGAATCAAGTTCCATGTCCACTTTGGTTGTTATATTATCATCAGTCTAAAAATAAGATCAAGTACGCAACAAGCTCATATTTTGCTAGCTTCAAAGAGATCCTTGTAGACAGAAAGACTAAGAACATGTTTGGGGGGCAAGAAACTTGCAGACAAGGATCAACACTCAAATGCTTTTTGTCACAAACAAATGCTTACAGATGATGGCTAATTTGTGGAGGTTTCTCCATCAAGTTCAATTATGAAAAATATGTTTTAGTCCCTACAAGACGTGGTTACAATCAACATGCAAGCCATGAGCAATCAAAGTTTAGTATAGCGCATTCTGAAACGTTCAGGGTAAACAAAATAAACAAATTCGACAATTGTGATCGACGTTGATTGCGTTTGTTCTTACATCCGTAAAGAAGGTGCCTTCTTTTATGTAATGGTTGCAGTGAATAATCTAAAGTACTTGCCCCACCAATATTCAAGAAAGCAAGGAAAGTTACTACATTCCAAAAAGCCCCCAAAAACAGATAAAACTTAACGTTGAGCTGATTTTTAATGATGAGGAGGTGGAATTCAAAATCTAGCTCACAAACAAACTGAACCGAAAAGATCACAGAGAGAACGACAACATTGAGACCAAAGTAGTGGTAATTTTCCATGGATGCCTGCGATGCGTAGTCACAGCCTGAAAAAGGAGATCATATGAGTAGAAAAGTCTCACTAACCTTCGGAGAGAGGTCGTAGATATTGGCACAGCGCATGCCAATCAGTCTTCGTAAACAGCGCACCTCTGCAGCCACATCTGCTGTGGTCATCCGCACCTTCACCATCTCGACAGACTCAGACCTTCTGTTCCCCGGCAATAATCGTTCCTCACAAAACCTCAATGAGGGATTCTACTTCCTGAGCTCAGAAACCTCTCGCTGAGGCTAGGCCCTCCACCTGAGGTAATATACATCAATCGGATTTGTCGAATAAGTGCTCGCACACCCCATTGCAGTGGACTAAGGACCAATTCAGTAGTTTCTTGCTCTTGATGACCCAATTAAGATATCGATCCTAAACCCTCACTTCCAGATTCATAAAACGAGAGGGGATGGGCCAGAAGCCTGGGTTCAACGACAGTTATTATACCGGGTGTACGCACCAGGCACACGGACTGATCAGACCCTGTAATCGCTTAGAGGACATTCCCAATTTCGCAGACGCTAGTCACAGCCAAGGCTCATGCACTATCCGGTAAAACGCTTCGTTTTGGTGTTTTTTTTTGTACTCATTGTGTTCCACGATAATCGACCGCTAATCATATGAATATTGATCCAACTTATAATGCATGCCATGCCTCGCTTTTGTAATGCATCAGAACTACTTAAGGGAAGGCACTGAGCCAGACTGCTGTGTTTAAACATAGAAGCCACGACTGTACTTATCGCTTTTACAGCTAAGCTCTTAAACTGATTCGTATTGCCGGAGTAGCCTAACTTCTTCATTATCAACGCGTTGTCCTCTGTATACAAACTTTCACAACGTGAACGATAAGAATGATAAGGGGTTGCATTTCTCAATGTATCTAATGGGATGTCAAATGATATTAACTAACAACTCGCTTACATTTCACCACGGTTAGCACTCGTTGTGTTTTTTCCACAACTAAGTACTAAGCAGTGAATGGTATAATACCGATAATATTCTCTGTGTAGATTTAAATTAAATTCAACAAGTACACGGCTATTGAAAAAAACTCGTAGAAGAGAGTGATCATATTGAATAAAGTGTTACATTTAAGCCTAGGTGACAATATAGTTTTGGTTTTTGGATTTAAATATCTTAAACACATTATGTTATAGGATTAATAATTATTTAAAAATATTTATAATAAGATTCTATTTTATAATTATTCTCAAATAATAAAAATATGAATTTGATAATTCAAAAATGTAATCGTACAGAAAATTAACTTATCAAATAAATTCTCATGAAATATTATGATCTTAATTTTTATTTAATACTTAAAAAGTGACATAAAATTCATCAATACAGATCATTTCGAAATTGTATTTGAACTAAGGAATTAAATCTTCTAAATAGAAATATTATATGCCACATTGATCATAAACCTAAAACAATCAAGGTCATTATGACGTTATAATTTTTTAGATTTCATCTCTAATTAGAAAAAATTAGATAGAAATTTTGATTTTCAGTTGAATGACTAATGAAGTTTACATTCAAATTAAAACTGATAGAGAATTAAATTTTTAGAAGATTTATGATATAGCTTGATGTAAATAAGGAAAAAAATTTAATAATTTGGACTATCAAATATCAAATTAAATTGAAGCTATGGTTTTAATATGTATAAATATATAGATTCGATTGTTCCAAAATAGATCCAATTTTGAGTCAGAAGGACAAGGAACGTTGTTAGAATTAGAACTCATATTAAATCAAAAAATTCTCTTTATTATTCCAGCTTCTACTTGCATTCATAATGTTGTGTTTGTTCGTTATGTCTTGTGTCTTATAATCCATGTCTTCTAAGTATACTTTCGAAACAGCTTTCAATCTATGTTGAATCAACATAAAATTTACAAATCCAACATCTAAAATCTGGAGCTCTCAGGTTCAGATTTTAGATGCAGGATTTGTGAAAAATATCGATCGAATGTGTTTCTGCGCGTCTACGAAGATTAGTGGTTTCGAAATACCGTCCTTATGAATTGTAGAAAGCAATAGTCACATCCGTTCACGTTATCTATGGTCTAGGATTCTCAGATCGAAAGACTACGGTTGTTGATCCATGTGCTACTTGCACCTCTTAGCTCCGATACCCTTTCATGGGAAGCTTTGATCTAGGGATTTGATTTTAGGGATTCCTTTATCCTATATTGGTAATTGTGTCATTTTTCCCTTTCAATCGTATGCATCATGTGCAACAGTATTTCACGCGTATTTCTGTATATAGAGTTTGGCTAGTTTTGTTATCTGTTGTACTTGTTTCATCCTCGCTTGGTTAGTCCTAAACTCCATTACACATAGGGTGATAGTCTTGTCTTGCTTGCAGAGACCGTCATGATATCCTGTTTTCGGCGTGGATCAAAAAATAAGGGGCAATGTGTGAGAACCAGCTTCTTCACGTCATTCTTAAATAGATCCGCAGAATATTTTGGTGTGTCCATATTATGTTCAGGGAAAAAGGCAGAAGGAGAGACAGCGTGTGTTTTGCAAGCAGCTAAAGCGTTCCATAGTCTTCGTGGGAATAAATCGCATCACAGAAGGGTATCTGAGGTGGATTTCACCAAAACCTACAAGCTCGGAAAAACTCTTGGAGTTGGAGGTAAAAAAATTATTCAATCGCAGTGACAATCATCAAATCAACTGTACGTCATTCAAGAATAAATTTCTATATTATTTTGCGCACCAATGTATTTGATTTTCTAAAACATAAGCTTATACTACATCGGCGCAGAAAAACCAACGAGATTTTAGTGACAGGATGAGACCCCTTTTTTCACTTTGCATATTCATTGACGATAGAGTTATATGCTCCATTCTTAAACAGGTCACTGATTTTCAATTTGAATTTTTTGGGCAGGTTTTTCAGTCGTAAAAACAGGAACCAACATATTAACCGGCGAACCTGTCGCAATAAAGATCATTGATAGGTCAAAATATGGACCAAAAGATGGAAGTCTTGAACGAGAAATTCAAGTTCTGGAGAAGGTAACAAATTTATTTCAATTGAACACTTTGAAGGAAATATACAAACTAGTCCTTTTGGATGTACATGACATATACTAGACTATATCTCTGATACTAATATATTTGTATGTAAGATCAGCATCAGTGTCAAGGGTCAAATGTAAAATGTGACATGAACCAGAGTAGAGGCGATGAAAATAGTCATGTTCCTAATTTTCCAGGTTCAACATCCAAATTGTATCTGTTTCAAAGAGTGTTTCTTCACAAGCAAATCAGTTTATCTCATTACTGAGCTGTAAGTACTGATGACCTTTATTACCATGATAGTCTGCTTCTCCAACAATTTTGGTGTATGTACAGCTTCTGCTTAGCAGGATATTTACTTTACGTAAATTCAGACATTAATTTGATTATTTATTTGAGCAGGATGCAAAAACGAAAAATAGGATAGTATCCTAGGCCAGGAATTTAGAATGAAATTGTGATGAATTTGTAAAAAGTATGGGACAATTCTTATCCATCCCTTCCAGAGTTACCGGAGGAGAGCTTTTGGAACGTGTTTTGGCGAAGGGTAGATACACCGAATTGGAAGCTGCCACAACAATCAATCAAGTTCTGAATGGTGTAGCTTATTTGCATTCAATTGGCATAGTTCATCGTGACTTAAAGGTGATGTCTAAACATACACATTTTGAATTTGAAAAAAATTCGTGTATATTTACCACAACTTGTTTGAAGTTTTGTGACTTACATTCACACGCTGAAGTTTACTAAAGTCGATTCCATGATATTTTTACAAGGAAAGATATTAACGGTGAATTTGAACAACAGGAGTCAGATCCATTCTAACAAGATTCTTGGTTTTAGATAGCAAATTTCTTCAAACGACGTTGGATGTTAAGTATAAGATCAATCAAAAATTAATCTTATACACATGAAGTAAAGAAATTTTGCAATTGATTCCTGAAGAATTGAAGATAGACTGAGTTTTCTTTAGAAGTTTAAACATTCAAAGGGAGGATCTAGGCAATCCAAAAAATATTAATGAATAACTGAAGATATATAAAGGAAAAACTTAATTGTAAACTCATCTTTACATGAAATCTTCACGTAATCTTTGAATTTTGAAAGAAGGGACAAATAAACATAACACAAGCATGCTTTAGATATTCACTATACATAACATATATTCAAACATTTTATTCATCATTATTGGTATGATGTAAAATACTTTTTAAAAATTTTTTTAAGTCACATATCATGAAACTTATGTGATGCAGCTAGAAAACATTCTTCTCAAATCCAAGGATGATGATTCAGTCGTTAAAATCGCAGACTTTGGTCTCTCAAAAATTTTTGTTGGAGCTGCAATTCTCAGCACTATATGTGGATCTCCACAATATGTCGGTGAGCAGTAGATAACAAATCAAACGTAAGATACATGTCAAATTCTAACAAGCTTGGACAACAATAGATGATTTTACTCTTGGTAGAATCATGACAATTGATGTTTGTTTCAACTTTTGTTTTTCTATCTTCTGCTGATTTTAACCAAATTCTATACATTAATACAACTTGTTGGATATCTTAGCTCCTGAAGTGCTTGAAGTTGGCCAAAAGCGGTCTTCATACACCCCATCTGCTGATCTATGGTAATGTTTGCAGTTCTTTGTATATAAAGGTTTCACACATGTTAGTTTGATATTCTTTAAAATATTTATTTATATCCAATAATTATTTTAAGAGAACGATTATACATGTTTATTGAAGTTCATGCTGACATGACAGGAGTGTTGGTGTTATACTTTACATTCTTCTCTCCGGGTATTCTCCCTTTGATGATGTTAGTGAGAGTGCTCTTTTCAAGAAAATAAAGAAAGGACAATATTCTTTCAAAGCGTCAGTATGGGAGACCATATCTAACGATGGTAAGATTTCTTAATTCTATTTTTGTTACATTTTGTTCAAAACAATTTAGTGCACATACTTCTCAATTCTCAAGATATAGTACCTCATGTAAATTGACTTGTAGAATATGTTGTTTTCCATCAGTTTTTATATTCTGCATAATAATTTATAACGATCTTGAAATCCAACCAAGTGCAAAATCCAAGTTTATCAGAACATCATTTGATTATATTTTATGATGACTTTCTACTGTGTTTGTAATTTGCATAATGCAGCCAAAGACTTGGTAAGAGGACTATTATGTGTGATTCCAGATCAAAGACTAACAGCTAGTCAAGCTCTTGCACATCCATGGATCAAGGTATAAACATTCATGATCTTTGTTTTTATCTATATCTTATGCTTGATAGAATCTTAATTCTTATATAAAAGTACTTCAAAAAATCATGTTCATAAAATACTGGAATTATCATTCATTTCTTGACATTGTGAAACTTGATTTACAGAAATATCTTGATCACAATGTTCAAAATATAGTTCACGACAACAACGATGCGGAAAAGGTCTTAGTTTCAAATCAACATACTATCAAGTCAATCCAAAACCATCATGTTTTAGATGAAAGTTCGTCTGATTCCGACGACAACGACATTTGCTCTTCATCAGTTCCTAATAAACTACATTCATTTTCTCCGAGTAATTCGGTAAGCCTGATATTAAAACTTTATCCACTATTTACTACCCAAAATAACATGTTTCATTATCAGCAATATATATCTGACTCAATACAATGATTCCATCCTAAATATAAAAGGAAAAAATCAATAATTTACTTTTGATTTATATAAAAATAACACTACATCAATGTACGGAAAATCACATCGTGCAAAAGCTGTGCTTAAATATATATCAAAAATAGAATGTTTCATTCTTCACTGACTTCGATACTATTAAATGATCATTCACAATCTTCCATATATTCTGACAATAATATCACTTTGCCAGCAGACGTCCAACTTACAAAACACCGCTATTTACCGCACCTCGTCGGATAGCTTTCACTCGCCCACTCCAGAACATTCTGTAAGTATATTGACACAATTGCATTGTTTTTCATATCAGAAATCAAGGGGTTCATGATAATATCCTTTAACTAAATTTGCAAAAAATATTTATTAAATTCTATTTCATTTCTTTTAAATGTCTTTTATCTTAACTTATTAAAACGGATTAAGTGCAAAGTACATGTTTTACCCTTCAAATGTTATAATTAGAATAAAAAAACTGGTATAACTTTTAATATTTATGTAGATATTGAATGTTGTCTGTGGAAGATTTCCAGTTCCAGATCTCCCTTGCAACATAAAATTGTACTTGATAGAAGTTCTGGCAAAGCACATGGAACCAGATTTACAGACATGAACTTCTAAAATAAGGTTTGTCTCATTTTATCAGTCATTTTTTCTATCCGACATTCCAAATTCTAATATAATATCTTATTAAAATGGTGATAATTTTCAATTTAAAATATGTTACATAAAAAAACGCAAAAGTAATGTCAGATTTTGAATTTGATCTTCAAAATATTATAATTTTTGTAAATAAATTGATGATTTGCAAAGAATTACACTGACTTTAGTTTCAGCTTCTAAATTTATTCTTCTATTTTCATGATCCATGATTTCTTAATTTGAAAATGTTGGGACTTTTTAAGCATTAAAGTTTCTTTTAAATTGATTTAGATTTGAAAGCATAAGCTTTCAAATCTAAATCAATTTCAAAAGAAAAATTATATCAAGTAAAAGAAAAATATAAAGTATACTCATGTGATAGATTGATTTAAAAAATTACATCAAATTCCATGTTACGATCCAACACACATGTTTGTGTTTGAATTCTTATTTTACGTTTAATGAAAAATGCCATTTAAATTCAATCTACATATCAAAGCAAAGTAATCCATATATATGTGATAGTAGTTTTATATACGTGTTGTATAAATGTAAAGAGAATACTGAATTTTAATTACATCAAGCCAAATAGACAATGAATATAAGATATAAGATTCAAAGAATCAAACATGTTGTAAAGTAAAAAAAGGATTTTCAGGAAATTATGTGAAATTTTTTATCACAATATATCCTTCTATATTAATTTTTATAAAAAAATGATATCTTTTTATTTATAAATTATTTTTAATTATATTTGCCATTGATCAAATATTATTTTTTAAGGCATGTATCAATATCAAAAACTATATTTGATTTCAAATTGGATTATATAATATAATCAATAAACCAATATATAATGAAGGTTCAAAAATGTAATTAAATCTCGTAAATTTTTTAGAACGCAAATAATGCAATTAAAAAAATAATATACTTAATATATACTGAAAATTAAGAAAAAAATTTACAAAATTTATAATACTTACGCACGATTTTTTAGTATTTGAAATTTTAATTTACAAAATATTCAATCATCTACTTATATCATCATATCAAATTTTGTAGCATGCATTTGCTTTGTCGAAGTTCTATTGGAATTAACAAAATTTTACATTTATGGATTTAAGGATTATTGATTTTTCATATTTCTTGATTGCAAATTGATATGAAAAAAGTAATAGTTAACTTTTCTTATCATTTTTAATTTATAAGTTTTTGAAATGATGCATTTTAAAAGGCTCAAAAGAATTATTGTATTAAATATTATCAATGATCCAATGATCTTATATCCTTATAAAATGTCAATTTCATTTGTTGGAAGTTCAAACAGAGATTTGTTGATTTATTTACTATACATAATGAATTAATATATTCAAAAAAACCTTTCCACATTGTATCACATTCAATAAATTTTAGAAATGATATATTATGTAAAATAATAATAAAAATATGGGTCATTGTTTAAACCGCACTGTTTAGCAATACATTGTACAATATTATACATATATCGTTATAAATGAGAAATTTTAATATATATATACATATAAATATAAATGATTATAAAAAATACTTATAAATTATTTTATATAAACATATATTTTTTGTAACAAAAATAATTTCTTAACAACCTTGAATGATATATAAGAAGTTAATAACCAAACTATGCATACAAACACATATAGGGTTTGTATTGAAATAATTGCTTTCGACATATATTATAGGATTCAAGGTATATAAAAATGAAAAAAAAAACCTTTTTTTGAATAATCATTATTTATGAATTTATAATTTTGATCCAAATGAATGTATCAATATAATGTTGAAATGTATTCATAAAAAAACTAATTAAAAATTTTAAATATATTAAATGTCATTAAAATATATTAAAACAATTAGATCATAAAAATTTGAGATAAATTTACTCTAATTTATAATATTAAAATTAATCTAAAAATATATAATTTTTTAAAATTTAAAATAAATAAATAAAATCACAATTATTGCTATCATACAATTTTTTTAATTTTAATTTTATCAGTTTTTAGATATCAATTTATTCGTTTTTATATAATTTTTTGAAAATATTTTTGATTAATACATGTTTTTCTATGAATATAAAATTAATTTTATATAATTAAAATATTCAAAAATTCTGAATGATTGACAGTCTACAAATTTATTATATTAATGAATATAAAGTTTCAAGTAAATTATCAATATGGCATCAATTAACAGAGTTTTATCTTATTGTGTTTTATAATATATGTCAGAATGTAGATAGACTATTGATGAAAAATTAAAGCTTTAAATAATATGTTCATAAATATTAAAATTTTGTGTTACAAAAATTTCAAAAAAAACTTCACACGCAAACATGCGTGCAGATTTGAAAGCAACTATACATGGTTTCACTTTGATAACATTTAGGGATACATAATAGTAAATCTTACAAAATCTATAATAATGTCGAAGACAAGCTAAGTCTCACACTCCTATGTCTTTAGCACAAGATTCAAATTTTGACTACCAAGACTAACGACTTAAGTTATTGCTAACAATCTTTTCATTAACTCTTGTTGTGAATATAGTAATCTAAATAATCTATATGATTATTTTGAAAAATATATTAAAAAAGACTCTAAGATATAAATTTATCTTAAAATTAGAGTTGATCAACACCAAGTCGTGGCCAAAATTTGCTAGAGTAAAAATATATAGAGAAATAGAACTGCATATAAACTAAATTTGTGCTGCTTATGTTAAATATGCATAATAGTGTAATTTATATAAAAATTTTCAAAGAAATTAATTTGACCAATACATTAGAAGAATTGAATTTACTGTCAATCTTGATTAATTAAATTTTTTATCAACATTTTTATTTATAATAAAGTAATATCTGATTTTGATTTGTGTAACTCTATTGACCATCATTTGATTTTTAGCAATAATGTGATGCACTTTTATTAACATCCATGTTTCATGTTCCATGGCAATTCCATGTTTCAACAAGTGATAAGTATTTTCAACACATAATTTACTTTGCTATTTATGCTACCCCTACATATTTGATTTCCGTTGTAAACATGATTTTACAAAGTAGATTTTCAACTAATGCATCCATCATCAAGTGTAAACACATACACGATTGTAAGTTAACAGCATATAAAATTTTGTTTATATGTTGTTGACAGTCAAGATAACATAGTAAGGATGTAACATTGTTCAATAAACCATCAAATAAAATATCACAATTCTCGCAACTTTGTAAATACATGAAAATTTATTTCACTAATTCTCAATGCATATTCCAAGGATTTGACACATATATGATCATCTTGTATGTAGTTAGAGCAATATTAGTTCTTGTGCATATTTTTGTAAGCAATTTCATTTTCACATATTTAATATAAAAAGTTGATGAGAATTTTTTCAATTACATTGACCAAAGATTGATATAGAAAAATTTTAAAATGTGATGTCAAACAACTCCATACTGCTTTAGAGTATGTTATCTTGAAACATTTGTAGAACACATTTATTTGACTAGATTCAATGATATAATTATTTTCTTCACATTTTCAATGTATATACATCCATAAATAATCTTGAATTTATTCAAATATTTTATCGTAAATGCAGATTTTGGTTAGTTTTTACATTTATCAATGTCAGATTGATTTCTTTTTTAAAAATAAACATGTCATCCATCTAAAATAGTAGAAAAATTAGAACCAAAAATTTTATTAATCACTTGCTTCATGTATATACAATGATCATACACACTTAGTGAAATTGTGTGTGTTTTCATTAATTTATCAAAATCTGCACTACAGTGCTTATGAGCTTGCTTTAATTGATTAAATGATTTAAAAATTCTAAAAATCAACTATTTAAATACATAGTTTCTTAAAGCCAAGTGATTGTATCATGTAATTTTTTATCCAATCTTCCAAAAAAAATATTTTGTAACTACACCCATTTGTTTCATAATCACACTGATTATTGCAACAAATGCACATACAAGTCAAATTGTAACATAATTTGCTACAAGTAGAAAAACTTGTTAGGATTTGAACTATGATACATAAATCACATTTTTCTATTGTGTGAACTATAATAGCCAACTTGACTTTGAAGATTGTTTACTAAATTGCTTTTCAATTTGTGCATCCACTTGGAGTCAATAAACTTCATTAGCTTGTAGGTATTATTATTGATCATCATCAATGTTATCACCATCCTCAATATAAATATGAAGATCATTAAAAATTATAATCAATGCTTAATTCATAATTTACAAGACTAGTCATAATTTAATTCAATGATCTTAATAGAACATTTTGATTGATATATGATTGCATTTATATTACATTACTAAGCATGTAATGATCAATCTTTACTCTAAAAATTACCATGCGTGGAAATTTATTCATGTTTGAAATGTTTTTCTCTTTCAATGATGTGGATTCAAAAAAATTAAATTTTTTTAATGTGAAGAGCTTGAATTTTTGTTTTTTTAAAGATTTAGGATCATCAATATAAAATTTTGTTATTTTGAAGAGCTTGATTTTTTTTCTCTTTTTCAATGATTTAACTCATCAAAATTACTTCTTTTGAGACAATAACTTTACGTATTACCTTATTCTTGAAAGAATTTTAAATTTACTCTCATAACGTTTAATTTTTCACATCACTAACATATCCAAGATTGCAGCTTATTACTAGTTTATAAGTATAAGAGGATAAATTTACAATCAACAATTTTTGAACGATTATGATCAGCTTATCATATGTGATTCAATTTAGACATTATGAAAAAATTGATTGCAATAAAAAATTTTTATCATATATATTGCGTTATGAACAACTTTGGCCTACAAAATTTAAATTAAATCTGATTTCCTCAACATATTACGCACCTTCTTTAACAATTTTTGATTGAAACTCTTAGAAACAAGAATTTCTTGTGAAATATAAATTATGATTAATATGACAAATTATACCCATTTTTTGCAATAACTTCCAAACTTTTTAAAGAATCATACTTCTTGCCATTATCTTCACGTTGATATCTCATCTTTTGTATAGTCAAAGTTTTAACTTGAATTTTCCAACTTTTACAAGTTTCAAAGATCTTTGACTATTGTGAATTCTTTTGCTTGGTGTTCTAATATCAATTGTGAATGTTTTTTCAAGAAGTTATAAGCACTAGCAATAAAATTCATCAATTGTTATATAAAGAAAATCAATACACGACATGTATGTGATTCACCTGGATATGAACTAAGCCCACGAGCAAAAAACAAACAATCTGATATAAAAATAATATTTGTGCAGTACATCAAAAGTTAATTGATTTATATACCCGACACTTAACCTCACACTAACTACAAATTTGTGAATCAAGGATTAATGCAAAACCTGAGCTAAACTCCAACATTTTGCAATAACCTCAAAACCTTGTTGGATTATACTTCTTGCCATCATTCTTATGTAAATATTTCACCTTCTATATAGTTAGAGTTTTAACTTAAACTTTTCAACTTTTGCAACTTTCAAAGATCTTTGACTTTTGTGTGAAAAAATAGTTTTATACAATCCTTGAATAATCATTAATAAAGAATAAAAAATATAATTTGTAGAGCTTAAGATTTTTAAAGAATATTAGCACACTTCATTATGTACACATTCAAGTAACATCTTGAAATTGTAAGTTTCAAGATCAAAGTCTTGTCTATGATGCTTATCCATAACATTATGCATAACTTTTTGAATCTATTACTTTGAAAGAGATCAAAATGTTTTTCATATAAGATTCAAATTTGAATTGAATTAATGTACGTTGAATTTCATTTAACGTTTGAAATTGAATTAATCCAATATCTTTAATTCTACACGGTTGATCATTTTTCAACAAAATGAATCATTTGATGATGAAAAAGTATAAAAAGTTTTTTAATGAAACAATTGCAATAAAAACATACAATATCTATGATCCATACATCATTATATAATACAAGAAAAAATATTATCTAGAATCCATACATCATCAACATTTGTCGATGAATTGCATCAAGAAATATCTTCTTGAGATCAAACTCTTGAATCACATTGGTTGAAGAAGATTGAACATCTTTGATCTTCACAAGGTAGTTTTTTTTAACATGGCCATTTTTGCCACATGTCTAACATATTAACATCTTCTTCTAAGGGTATTCACACTTAGACTTTAAAAATCTACACTTAAATCCAAAATACTCATACTCATTTTCTGAATATGATCAAATTCAGTGCATATTTAGTGTGATATCAAAAGGAGAAGATGAAGGAGATGACACAATCATTTTTGCTGTAAGTCATCAATTTATAAAATACTTAAAACTTTGTTATGAATGATTC